TCTGGCAGAGCCAGGATTTAACCCCTTTTCTGAAGGCCATGAGGGAAGGGGCACACCGGATTTCCAGTTTGATTTCTCAGGGCTTTTCCCATCCTGCTCCCTTGTTCTTATTTATTTTATTTTTATTATTATTATTTATTATTAAATTTGTATGCTGCCCATCTCCCCCCAACGGGTGACTCTTTATACTATTTTATAGTATATATCATCTGCCCTAATCTGGAAGGATTTGCAAAGCAAGACTCTGGCCCAAGACTCTGGCCCAAATCAATCTATCTGATGCTTTGATTCTCTGTCTTCTTTAATAAAGATAGCTTATATGCTTCCTAACACCCTGTGTAGGAGAGATTAACTGTTGGCTGTTTTTCCCACCAGTACAAGATCCAACTGCTTCTTTGTCCCCCGTAAAGCTGTAAGGAGAGCACAACACACTGGCCTCATTACTGAGTTAGGACAGAATTCAGTTTTGGAACAGAGCAAATTATGTTAGCATATTTCTGTGTCAACTCATGGACTACAGCATGGTGGTTCAAATTGTATTCTGTGGACCCCAGATGAGAACTTAATGTATTTCCATGAAAGACTCAAGGCAAAGTTCACTTCAGCACATCAATTTTCCATTCTTAGAGCTTTGCTTCTTAATAATGGATTCCAGAATTTTTTTTTTTTAACTAATAGGTTCCACAGCCTGAAAAAAATTGGAAACCTTGGAAAGGGGACACCAGATTAAACCAGCAGCCTGGATCTGACAGTTTCAATGTCTAAAATGGCACCTTTTGGAAATGAATTGAACCTCAATTCCAGTCCTAGAGAAAAACACTTCAGGACGGCTGATGCATCCAGATATTTCCTTTGTTCTCAGTTGCTTGAAAATTCTCTGCTATTTTACTGGAGAAAAGATAAATAACCTCTTAACTTACCCTTATTTTTAACGGCATCTATAACAAAAGGAGTCATTTGCCGCTCAGCAAAGTCTTCTGTTTGGATTATGGCTTCTTTTACTGCTTGAAATCCAGAGAATATTACTATAGGCATATGTCCTGACCATATTGTGTAAATGTTTCCATATCGCTTAGCCAGCTGCCATTTGAATGAAAACAGAAAATGCAAATATTACATTCAATTTTAGTCATTTATTTCAAATTACTGTGTGAACTGAGCCTTTTCCAAAGCCACAGAATCTGATCAAAAGTGTGCAAAATATTCTGAATGGTTTTAAGTGTTTTGAGTGCCCCATAAAATCCCTTGTTCCAATATTTTTGTCCCTAACTTGGCTTGTTCTTTTATGAATTGCAATTAGCTTGTTGTTTTCAATACAGTCAACCCTTCAGCATTAAATAACAAAACACAAGCAATTCTGAGGTTAGGCTGAACACTTCCTTCTTTAGCACATTGTTTCCAGTCCAGTCTTCACTTTGGGCAAGCTTTTCAGTCCCAGTAGAGCAGAAGCTAAACAAAGCCAACAATAGACACACACTCACACACACACACCCTTTTAAGGGACTAGAGTTTGTTTAGATCAGATGTACAAAAGCAGGTGACATTGCTTGTGCTGCCATTGGGTAAATCTAAACTAGGTAAGTAGAGGGTCAGGATGAGGAGGAACAGCAAATATATAAACATACATTCAGGTTGAAATAGACCATGCTGGGCTTTGTTCCTTGTGAAGAGCAGAGAACAAAACATTTGGGGGCCTATCTGAATTCCATATTATTAATCCTTTAATAGTTAGCAACATTGGTGCCTTTTCTTTTAATTGGTTTTCATGAAAGCAGTGGAAGAATTGATCATGCTAAAAGGCAGAGGAGTGGGAATATATCTGACTTGGGTAGACCAGCAGCTGTTGAATATCATTCTCTGCAGGAGGATTTACAATGTTGGACAGTATTGGGAGACAATCAGAGATCAGTTTGAGGGGCATGAGGAAGGGCGAGGATCTTTTGCTGGGACAAGCAGAGGAGTAATGCTCTGGTCTAGTTGGCCTCTGCTTCTTCAATAACAATCCAGGGACTTGGGGTTAAGAGGAGATAATGTCCCCTCCTGATGCCAAGCCCATGGATGGTGCTGCCAGGAGGAAGCACCAACGAAGCCTCACCACAATCAAAAGGCCTGTGATGACAAGCCCATGATTATGTTGCACAATCCCATTTTAAACTTTATTTAAATGGTTCTGCATAAGCATCAGGCAGGTGTTCTGGCAA